TCCCTACTTCACGTCCTCCTGCTTCTCTTCCGTTCTATTGTCTTCCCGTAACTTTTAGCTCCCTCCTATCCCATCCATCTTCAGGGTCATATCTCCTCCTCTGCTGAGCATGAGAACAGACTTTCTCCTTCTAACAGCTTTGTTTAGTGTTTCATACTTAACCTCTTCATTTTAGAGGTGACTTGCACTGGTTACTATTACTCTTGAAAAATGTCTACGAACCAACATTTACATGTTAACACAATTTTTTTTTTTTTACCACAACCATAGTAAAATATGTTAAAAGTCTCTAGAGGCCTCACTGAAATGTGATATATTGCAAGCATCTTGTGTCATTGTCTGAAGAGGCTCATTGTTCCAGAAGGTCACTTGGAGAAGAGGGTTCTTGGGCAGCATCTGCCATATTTGGAGTGAATGGTAAGCATTTGAGCTCTTACCTGCTGCAAAAGTCCTAACTCCAGTGGCTCTGATTAGATCATCTGCTTTTCCAGGGAAAACGAGAACTATTTTGGATACTTCTAATGATTGGTTTGCTTAATTCACCTCCATTCCTCAGAAAACTGCCTCTCACAGCAATGGTTATTTCATGAATATCATAATGTTTCTGTCATCTAAAATATAATCATATTATATCACTTATATATGAGTAATTAACAGTCCAATGAGTGAGCCTCCACAAAAGGTATGACTCATGTTTGGTATTTATATAGCTTTTCTGTGACTCAGTAATAGAGCCTGGGCTTTAGGCCCTAATTGCCTGGATGCAAATCCTAACTCAGCCATGTATTAGCTGTGTAGCCTTAAGTAAGTTACTTAACTTCTCTGTGCCTTAGTTTCTCCATCTGTACGATGGATATATTAAGAATGCCTACATTATACGGCTGCTGTGAAATTCAGATTAGTGAAAATATATAGCACCTGGCACTTGAATGAGTCTGACAAATATTACTGGAGCTGTAAGAAACTACAGATTAGTTGGTGAAAGGATAAAGGATGAAAAATAAGTTTGTACTGAACAAAGACAGACTGTGAAGTATGCAATGTTGTCTGGAACTTAAAATGTTAAGAAAATCAAATGCTTTTTACATCTTTCTCATTCTGTTCTCTATCTCAGAAAAATAAAAATAGAGTGTTTGCATTTAAACCCATAAGGACTGAAGCTGCACACAGAAAACTAAATAAATGAATAATGTAGGTAACATTTTTATTGGCGGTCTGAAAGATGCTATGAGAGACAGGCTAACGTTTCAGGTATCCACATGATTATATGCATGTGTGTATTGAAGTGCATGCGTGTGTGGGGGTGGGGTGGGGTATATTCTTGTAACTATGTAGATAAGCCCCACTTCAAAGGCCAAGAGCATTGGAAATAAGGGGGGGGAGATATAAAAAAATGATACAATTCATAAAAACTCATGAAACGAAATATGCTTATACAAAATGGAAGAAAATGAAATAGGACATTTTAATTTAATCTGATAATATTTGATGAGTTTCAAGTATGAATCAGTAGGTGAATTTAATAGATAGGTAGTGTTAGTCCAATCATGGCCAAAGAATAATGTGAAAAGTACTAATGAAAATGAGTCTGTTGTTTTATTTATGGTTGGGATTTTCAGTGTTCAAAGATCTCTAAATATTCAAAGAAGATATTTCAAATTGCAGGCTGGCATAATTGGATAATCAGCTCTGGTGTACAGGATTTCCAGAAATACAAAACATCACTAATATACCACAAGCGTTTAAATAAAAGCCGTTTTGTAACTAATGATAGATGCTCAAAACAAAGCACCATACAGTTTATTAAAACTGGAGAGTCCAAGAAGAAAGTCGGATGTCAATTAAAGTCTTGATTTTTAATTATTGTTGTTTTTTATCTTGGGGGTCCCATAAAAAGTATATATATACATTATATATATTATATATAATATCAACACATCAAATATTAGTATATTTGAATTCATAAACTTGAAAAGAAATTGCCATATGGATTTATTTTACTTCTTTCTGGTGGAAAAACTATTCTACAAATGTGGGCTGGAATTATATGGAATTTTAGTTGGCCAGTGGTTATTTAAGACTATATTGAACCTGGCTGTATCACCAGTTTTAAAAAAAACAGACCATTTTTCATTTTATCCATACAATACATATTTTAATGTCCTCTACTAGAGGACATTAAAAGTCTATGCAGAGTGAACATGGCACACAGGAAAACCCACATCTAAATACCAGATTTGTAAAGCAAGGACTAATGTGGTTATACAACAGCAGATTTTTATTAGTTATGTGGATTGATGAGGTTAGTTTCAATTCTGAACTCACTAATTATGTATTTCCATAACTAGAAGCTGCATAAAGCATTTGCATCTATGGCATAAAGGAAGTTCCCAACTCTCATTTGAATAACCTGTCACTGTTGCTGCAAACTGAAAAGGTCTGGAAGAAATAATTTCCACTATGCCCAGAGGGCCATTTTGCTTGTGTAGTTAAAAGGACAGGAAAGCACTTAAATCCTTCCTTGATATGCTCACAGTGGGCATCCTTTTTATCAAATATATATTTTTTCTTTTATGACTGCCCTTGGTTAAAAGCACAGACTTTGGAGATAAAAAATACAAAGATAAAATGCCTAAAGTGACTTTAAGATATGCAAATGACAGTAAAACCATTTAAATACGTTATGTGTTTGCCTTCATTAAAAAGACAACTCAGATGCAATTTGAAAGTTCTGAATGGATAGGGCCTCCCTTGAATTCCAGGTAAGACTTGTTTTGTAGCCTTGATTCTTTGTTAACCTCCCATTTATTATTTCTGCAGTGCTGGGGAGGGCGATTCAAGAATATTTTAACCCCCTTCTCAGGCAAAGGAAACAAAAGCAAAGATAAGCTACTGGAACTACATCAAACTAAAAAGCTTCTCCATGGCAAAGGAAATCATCAACAAAATGAAAAGGCAACTTACTGAATGGTAGAGGATATTTGCAAATGATCTATGGAATAAGGGGTTAAATACAAAATATATACAGAACTTCTACAACTCAACACCCCCCAAAACCCAAACAATCTGGTTAAAAAATGGGCAGAGAAGCTGAATAGACATTTTCCCAAAGAAGACATCCAGATGGCCAAAAGACACATGAAAAGATGCTCAACATCACTCATCAAGACCATGCAAATCAAAACCACAATGAGACATCACTGAACACCAGTCAGAATGGCTGAAATAAAAAACACAACAAACAACAAGTGTTGGTGAGGATGTGAAGAAAAAGGAAGCCTTGTCCACTGTTGGTGGGAATGCAAACAAGTTCACGCACTGTGGAAAACAATATGGAGGCTCCTCAAAAATTTAAAAATAGAATTAACATAGGATCCAGTAATTCCATTACTGGGTATCTACCCAAAGAAAACAAAAACCCTACTTCAAAAGGATATATGTGACCCTATGTTTATTGTAGCACTTACAGTAGTTAAAATATGGAAGCAACCCAAGTGTCCATCGATAGATGAATGGATAAAGAAGAAGTGGTATATGTATACAAATATATATACATATGTGTATGTGTATGTATGTTTATATATATAAATATATATTTATATATAAGTATAAATATATAAAATATATTATATATAATTTAATTTAATATTTTACATTAATATAAAATATTAATATAATTAATTTAATTTAATATTTTATATATAAATATATAATTTATATATAAATATGTATACAATTTTATATATATATGTATAATGGGATATTACTCAGGCAGAAAAAGGATGAGATCTTTCCATTTGTGACAATAGGGATGGAGTTAGAGGGTATCATGATAAGTGAAATAAGTCAGACGGGGAATGACAAACACCGTATAATTTCACTTGTATGTGGAAGCTAAAAAACAAAACAAATGAACAGATAAACAGATAAAACCAAAAACCAAAAACAAACAAACAAAAAAACAGAAACAGACTAATAAGTACAGAGAACCAACTGGTTGTTGCCAGGGAAGAGGTGGGGGAGAGCAAAATAAGTGAAGGAGATTAAGAGGTGCAAACTTCCAGTTATAAAATAAATAAGCCATGAGGATGAAGAGTAGAGCATAGGGAATACAGTCAATAATATTGTAATTACTTTGTATAGTGACAGATGGTAGCTACATTATGTTGAGCTTTGCATAATATATAGAATTACTGAGCCACTACGTTGAACACCTGAAACCAATGTAACATTGACTGTCAACTATATTTTAATAAAAAAAGAATACCTTATCCAGCGTCCTCTTCTCACACCAACTCTACTTCTCAAAGGGTCTCTACTCTTTGACACAGCCAAATATTTAAGCCAAAGTTCTTCCATGCAACAGAAACTGTGAGAATGGTCCATCACGCCTGTCATCTTTCTGCCATCAGTCATATAACCTTCACACATTTTCATTTCCATTTTTTGGGAGTATGATTATCAATGTTATAATATCCAATCTGTTTTCACACATAACTGGGCACAGAGCTAATCATTTATTCTATTCCATTTCTTATAATGACTATGGGCACCAAGACTAAATTCTCTTTTAGTGTCTAGAGGTCAGGCAAGTTGATGCTTAATATTTTTATGATGATGATCAAGAGTATTACACATAATTATGCAAAATGGCAATCTGGCCTTGAGGCATTTCGTTTTCAAACAACCTTCATGTAATGGCAGAAGGAGAAGAGTATGGCCAATCCAATTTCCTGTAGTATGTCCATCTTACTTTTACTCAAAATAGTAATATGAAAATATTCCTAGAATAATTATAGAGCAATAAAAAACTTTCTCTGTTGATAATGGATAAATATTAAACAAAAGAAAATTTTGCCAACTTAGACTGCCTTAACTTATTAAAATCTTTTTTTTTTTTTTTTACTTTGAAGCTCTAATTCCTTTAACAGTATCTGTAAGCACATTTCACCCGTATATTCTTAAATGCAGATTTGAAGAATTCCCCACACATTACTTACTTGTTTAAGCTTCTTTAGATCTTCATCAAGTTCTAAGTTGTCCAAAATAACAGCAACAAACAAACTCAGGAGGATCTATAAAATGGTTAAATAACAATGAAAAAACCCACATGCTGTAAGTATCAAAATATTTTATATATATACATATATATATATGATATAGACTGTCTACCTAAAATATATACTACATAGAATGCATTAAATGAAAAATGAACATGCAGTTCTGAAGCATTGCATAGGGATTTTAAGGTATTTATCACAAATTTGTTAAAGGAAATGCATATGTTAACTGAAATAAACTATATAAAAATTAATTTGCTTTATGAAACTGACTTAAAATGGAAATTAAGAAAAAAGTTTTTATAACTCCACAGTCCCACTTCTGAGACTATATCTAAAGAACATAATTCGGAGTATTAAAAAGCTTTATATACAAAGGTGCTTGGTAGTTATTTGTAATAATGAAATACTAGAAACAGTATCTAACCTTACATAAGTAGGTAATGCAGTTATGCAGATCTCTATTATAAAATTCACACAGCCATTAAAAATCCCCATTGTGGTAGCTAGTCTCCAAGAGGGCCCCCTGGTGTTATGAGGCTAGGTGATAAAGCACTGTGCTTTTCAGCTTGCTCTCTCTTGGATCACCCACTCTGGTGGAAGCCTGGTGCCATGTCATGAGGACACTCAAACGGCCCTATGGTGAGGTCCATGTGGTGATGAGACAAGGCCTCCTGCCCTGTGAGTGATCCATCTTGGAAATGGACCCTCCTGCCCTTGTCAAGCCTCCATTTGACTGCAGTCCCACCAACATCTTGACTGCAAACTGATGAGACATTCTGAGCTAGAAACATCCAGCTCATCCTGTCCCAGATTCCTGACCTGTAGAAAATATGTGAGAAATAAATGTTTATCCTTGTAAGCTCTTATTGTCCATAATTTGTTATATAGCAAGATAACGAATGCACTCATGAATTTAATAACATTAAAAAAATCCTCACATTACAATATTAAATAAGAGTGTACAGGGTAGAAGTGCATGGAGGTACAAAAAAGAACAATAGAGTGAATGTTAGAAGGAGGTACTGTAAAATGTTAATGGTGCCTGTCTCTATGAAAAACAGACTTCCCCCTTTTATTTGTATTTCACCACGTTTCACAAATTAAGTAAAAAAGTCATCACTTTTCTTTTTTCTTGGAATGGGTAAATCAGGTAAAAAAAAGAAAGCAACAAAAAAGTAAAATTAAAAAAAATATATTTAATTTGTAGTCCTTCTCAAGTTTGAATTCTCTAAAGTTCCGTATTTGTTTGGTAAATCTTTTTCATTCCTAATTTATGTTCTTCCTTTCAATTTCCCTCTTAAGAAATTACTCCCATTTGTTAATATTAGATGGTTAAGCATGAAGGTATGAAAGTTAAGACAATTTAGTCATAACCTTTGAGTACCAGAGAGATTTATTATGCAAAAAATAATGGCTAGCTCTTTTCCAAGTTCAATGAGTATATAAAAAGGGGGAAAAGAGCCTCCACATATTATTAAATTTTGACAATATATGCTTGCCTTGGGACAAGTGCCAACACCCTTCTGTTTAAAAGCCTTGTCGTTTGGGATCCTACCAGAACTTAAAGAAGATACGGAATGGTCTAGATGAGAAACTTACTGATGTCACCATGCCTGCCACACCACGGACATCTAGGCACTGATATATTCAGCCTTCCTCTGACCAGACATTATTCTCAGTGGGACCATTCAAAGTCCCCTTTAAGTTTAGTCCCCTTGCATGGCCTTGATATTCTCATCAACAGCAGTGTCAATGGAGGAGGACGCCATTTCCATCACTCATCGGGTACTTGTCCAGGCCCTGTTCTGTCCTAATTTAACCAGTTTTCCTATTTGCCCAGTAAAGGGTAGACCCAAATCTAAAAAGAAAAAAAATTTCCCTTATGATAAGAGGGAAAGTCCCTTTTCTTAAATCATTTCCTTTAGAAAACTTGTCATCTTCTGGAAAGTCTTCCTCTGTCCCTTTGAGATGTAGATATACCTTTTTCTTTTTCTTTTTTTTAATTTTTTTTAATATTTTATTTATTTATTTGACGGACAAAGATCACAAGTAGGCAGAGAAGCAGGCAGAGATAGAGGAGGAAGCAGGCTCCCTGCTGAGCAGAGAGCCTGATGTGGGGCTCGATCCCAGGACCCTGGGATCATGACCTGAGCTGAAGGCAGAGGCTTTAACCCACTGAGCCACCCAGGCGCCTGTAGATATACCTTTTTCAAAGCAAAATAAGTCTCACTTATTTTACAGCCCAGGAACAGTTTTCTTGGGTGGGGGGGCAATCTCTCTGACACGTAAACATCAGGCAGACAGCACCCTATCTGTCTCCCCTTTTCCCTTTTCATGTGGGGGTGGGGGGGAGAGAGGAGAGGTGGGAGTGTCATTTAGCAACCCGGCACCATGTCACAAAACCACCTACTTGTCTGGAAGATATCTGTTTTCTTTTTCTTCGGGATGAAGATAATTAGCTACCACAGATGGCCACCCCAATCACCAGGTGAATTTGGGGGGGGGGACGCTAACAAATGTTGCTGTCAAGTCCTAGGTGAGGCCTGGTTATTTTCATCCTGTGGACACAGACGTAACGTGGGGATACCTGCACAAGGTGAGATGGCTTTGTCTGTGTGGTCTCTTCTGCAGGTTGCCTGGGATGCCCACCACAGTCTGGACTGGGGCTGTCAAGAATGAAACTGTTTTCTTTCTCATCTACCTTGGTGGAGAGGTTTTCTGGGTTGGCAGGATATTTTATTTTTAATTATTTTCCCAACACCAGACAGATGGCAGGCTCCTTAAGGACAGTGAGGTTATGTTCTTCAATTAAATTCAGCAGGCAGTTGACTGGGTCTCATCCATGTGTCAGACACTGCCTGGTCAGGAGCACGGACACGATATTGGGCCCACCGCTATGAGTTCACAGTCAAATTGAGCCGTCGTCGGTTGGTGGCCTGGCAGAAGGAGCACCGTGGTGGGAGACCTGAGTTTGGGGCCCTTGCCTGTGACCTATCACGGATAATAACAATAGCTCAAGGAATTGCAACTACCCTTTTTTTCCATTTAATCTTTTCCCAACAACCCTGTGGTGTGTGGCACAGCCTGCATGAAAATATACAGACATAAATTTAGATAGGAGAAACTAAAATAATTTTCTTGATATTTCTACAAATGAATTTAATTTAGTCCATAAACTCTGAATTTGTTTGCTAGCTGAAAACTGAATCTTGCTTTCAAACTCAGTTACATTTGAATAAATGCTCCTTTTGCTGGCTTAAGGTCAAGGGCATGCTTCTCATCAGCGTCTGGTCCCCTGTGGCCATGGGGCCTGTCCTCTGTTCCTCCATCGGGGCAGCGATGGGTGCTTGTTTGGGGGCCTCCGATGAGTTGATCACTATCTCAGCTTCTGTAGCTCCTGATAAGGTCTGATTCTCAGTGACACCCTCTGTGTTAGTTTCCTAGGGCTGCTGTGACATATGGCATGAGAGTGGTGGCTGGAAACAACAGAAATGTACTCCTTGATAGTTCTGGGGGCCAGTTGTCCCAAATCACACTGTCAGCTGGACCACGCTCCTTCAAAAGGCTCCAGGAGAGGATGAACATTGCCCCTTCCTGCTTCCAAGGGCCCCAGGTGGTCGTTAGCACGGGGTGGCATCACTCCAGCCTCTGCCTCTGTGTTCACGTGGTCTTCTCTTTCTTCCTCTGTCTTGTCCTCATCCATTTCTTACAAGGACACTTGTCATTGGATGTAGGGCTCCCCTGGATAATCCAGGGTGTCTCATTTCAAGAACCTTAGTTTAATGACATCTGCAAAGACTCTTATTCCAAGGAAGGTCACATTCCTAGGTGTGGGAGTTAAGACGTGGACACCTCTTTTGGGGGTTCCCATTCAAGTCCCTCTCTTCTCCATCTGGTCTCTAGCCTGGGCCATTGTTCTCGCACTAGTGTTTTTCCTACACACTGGCTTTCAACTCTCAGGAAGTCGGGAAGTTCCACCGTTCCAGGTGGGAACCGAGAGAAACTTGTTCTTGGGGTTCTCTCACGCCTCTTTCTCATCTCAGAACTTCCCAGTCCTCCAACTCTGTGCAGGCCGCCCCTCATCCACGCGGGGCCTCCATCGAGGCAACCTCCCCTCAAGTTCTGATGAGAAGTGAGGCCACGTCGTGGGTGTGGAACACAGCCCGGTTGGCACCAACACTGCTGCTGGCCCCGAGGGTGGCTTCCGCCCGACCATGGAGACAGCAACCCCCACCCCCCCAACCTGCCTCCCTCAGGCTCCGTCCTGGAGAACGTTGTTTCCTCTTAGATGAGGAACGTGAAAGGAAATTGGAGCAGGGGTTTGAGAAGGAGGCTCTCAGATGTATGTAGACTGACAACTGAACACTAAACCCAACCAGAGTATCACAGGGTCAGCTCTGTCCCATCTGAGCATTTAGACTTCTGAGAACTGAATGGGGCCAACAGACCAGAGTGTGTCTTCTGAACGCTACTTACTGAAGATCGCAAGGCACTGATGAATCCAACCTTGTGCCACCCAGATATCAAGACACCAAGGAGAAAGATGATTTTGGCAGGAAGAGAATTATGAGGAAGGATTTCCAGGTGGCATGTGTGAAGACAAGGTCTTGGGAGCATGTGGCTTATTAGGGGCCTGGTGAGTGGTTAAGTACCACAGAGCACGGCTGCCAGAGGCCACAGAGGGAGGACAGGGGGTGGCACTTTGCCCAGATGCCACCAATGGAGGCTGGGAGGTGTGAGAGGGAGATTGTAATGATCACTAAGTGATGACATTAGCTTCCCCTCTGTTACCTTTTTTCCTTTCAAATGTAATTTTTTTTTTGCATAATGTAGATATTTTAAATTGGCTCATTGGCACGGTGACTAGACAGTATAAAGTACAGTTTGACAAACGGCTATTAAATACATAAGGTTTTGTTACTTGAAAAAAAAACCTGTCATTTTATACATTCTTCCTGGAGGAGAGAGAAAAGCTCCCCTCAGAGCAGGACAGAGAGATGGCCATGGTTTCT